TAATATTTTCTTCTTTTAAAAAATTCATCATACTCATTTTTCTTTTATATCATTATTTGCTCTTCTTATACAAAAATTTCTTTTCTCTCCAACTTCCATAAACTGTACAGTAAGCTCACCAACTTTTTTTGCTCCTCTTTGATATCTTTTATTTCTTCTAATACATTTGTCACAATACTTTTTATTCCTTGCGTTGTTAACTCTGCCAATCTTCGCTCAAGTTTCACCTGATTATTTATCAAACGATCTATTTCAGCTTGTCTAGCAGCAGGATCAGCTATATTTGCTGTAAGTGCCTCAGTTAGTTTTCGTTTTTCTTCATCAGATCTAGTAGCAATTTTTACAGCAGCTGCTTCTTGTTGTTCTTTAACAATTCCAACCAACCCTTTTTCTTGCAGTTGTTTAAGTTCTTCTTCTGATAGTGGTTTAGTTTCAGGTTGTTTTTCAAGTAGTGCTTCAGTAACTGGTTTAAAAAATTGTAGCTGTTGCTTCTGTAGCAGTTACTTGTCCACGTCGTGCTTGTTGTACTTTTTGCTTAAATGATGCCTGAGTTTGAGCAAGTTTTTTTAGATCTTCTATGTGTTGTCTGTATCTTGCTCGTTTGTCCATTATTATTATTATAAATTTTATAAAACTAAAACGCTTTACTTTAAGTAACTGTTAATACAACAGCGAAACATTTTAGTTGGATCATTTGTAAGTTTATCAGATAAGAAAAAGTTGTAATTATCTTTTTTAGCATTACGATAAAGTTCAGTAAACTTATCTTTTGTCACGTCACCGCATTGCTCGCTTGCAATATTTCTAACGTCAACATTGTCCAGTCCTGAAAATAATATAAACCAACCCGTACTTCGCCGAATAAATCTGTCAACATTATAAAATCATTGAGCGAAATAAACATAATTACACTGTTTATTACGTGACAGTGAGAAATATGATCTTATTTTATTCTTCTCCATGTTATTTAGCGGAATATCGTCAAAAACTACTATCTTATGTTCATCTGCATCAAGCTGTTTAACTGAAATAATATCTTCTGGCTGCCTAATTATAAAAAATTATTCACCAGCCTTAAGATCATCACGTAGCTTGTTATTATTCTCGCTTAATAACTCATACTTATCTTGCTGTGGATTGATTGTGTAAATATAAACTCTGTCATAGTTAAAATTATCACCAAGAAGCAAATTCATAAGCAAATTTGCTTTTCCTGATCCAGTTCGCCCAACAATAAGATAATGACAATCAAGAAGTTCATTGTTATGTTTGTGCTTCACCAGTCTCTCTGTATCAAAGTTTAATATTGTCGACTTTGCCATTGTTGTTATAATTTTATATAATATTGATAATTTTATGTAGGATAGTACACAATGAGTTACTATACAAAATTTGGAACATTAGCAGGAGATGTATCCACAGAAGGTTATAAAGGTGACTTATCAAGGTATGCAACTCTTGATCAGCTCAAAAATGAAATCAATAATTTATTAAATGTTGCCAGTGTAGACCCAGATGAAGTAGTCATTTTCCAGGACAAACAAGGACGATTAAAAACGAGTAATGTGCAACTGTCAGGTGTACTCGTACGAAATCCTACTGCGGTTACTGATAATATAGTGACTTTTAACAATTGAGGTAAGATACAAGATTCCGGTAGGTCAGTGAATGATTATGTTAAAAAAGCAGGTGATGTATTTACTGGGACTGTTATTATGAACAAAAATAAAATTACAGATCTTGGATATCCAACTACTGATAATGACGCTACAACAAAAAAATATGTTGACGATCAAGAATCAAAGTATGTGTCAGTCAATGGTGGTATGATGCGTGCATTTCTAAACATGAACCATAATGCCATTACTTACCTCAGAACACCTGTCTGATTTTGATGCTGCAACAATGAAATACGTCGATGATCAGGACGTTCCAATCAATAATGAAATAACTGTGCTCAAAAATGAATTTCTTGGTCACGTGAACACGTTTTGAAGTTTTCGCAGAAGCATTAACACACTCAAAAATTAATATTTTGGAAATCCATCAAATGTTGACATTACACTCGCTAATATTAACATAAAACTCAATGATATTAACATAAAGCTCAATGATATTATTAGTGGAATTCCTATTGTTGTTGAGAAAACAAGTATGATTAAAATTCCTCACAAGCAGATTAAAAATATTGTGTATACTGTTGCATCCGGTTATAGTGGATGGACATCACAAAACAACTCTATCAAATATATTGCAGAAGTTACCGGTGTGTATAGATTGTCAGTGTTTAGCGGTGCAAAGTTTAAAATATTTACCACATATTCGTGGCGTCATTCAAATGATGACTTATCTGGAATATTATCTGTAATAATAAATAAAAATCCTGAGGAAGAATTTATATTTGAACCAACTGATGAAACTTTTGTAGGTCCTTATCGGTGGTGTTTGGAATTAATAGTTGAAAGACTGTGATTACTTACTGCTTACCCAAACATGGGACTATGTGAACTAATATTATAATGAAAAAAAGTATAGTTGATTTCAAACATATTTCAAAAGATATTCCAGAACAGTATGTGGACGCACTAAATCAATACTACAAATATTATCATAAAAAACTTTGGTGTGTAAAAAAATGTTACAAATACTACAACAAGATCCTTCGAGTAATATCATATCGACCCTTGTTAATGACCAGTTCTGGTATAATTTCAAGTGGGGTATCATTAAATTCGTTTTTGTTAATCATCTCTGGTGTCTCTCTTTCAACAGCGTGTAAAAAAGTAGAACCAAGACTCGCAACTAAAAAAAATAATTGCCAAGCGGCTAGTATCACCTATAAAAAATTACTCGATCAGATACGATCTTACTTGCTTGGTATAAAATATAATCTGGACGATTTAATACGCGAGTTCCGTATTATGCATAGTATGTTAACAGATATTTTACCAATGAGGGTTAGCAAATATGAAAAATATTATCAAAAAAGTATGATATAATGTAGAAATTTTATCTAAACTAAACTTAAAATATAATATCACTTACCTGATTCTCCTGTTGTATCCTCTCTCTTCAAAGTCTGTTCCCGCAATGACTATGAGAGAATTGAATGGCTTTATATATCAGTGATTTGGAATGTTCTCGAGAATCACGTGATTGAGTCTGACACATCATTTTACCTATCTCTCCCTTGAAAGTTCAGCGACCGCAATGACTACTACCTTATATGGTAATGATTTGGAACATTGAGTCTGACAAAGGTATTTTACCTATCTTCTAGTAAATTCTGGAAGATCACGTGATCTCCGTATGACGTATACAAAATTACTAAAACATTTTACTTGGCTCGGTTTCCATCTGTTACATAATTTAGTTCTTCGCGCAATTATTGATTACGTTACCTAGGTATTTTGCAACAGGTGTTCTATAGTTTGGATCTTAGCGTTATTATTGATAATTACCTAGGTATTTTGTATAGTTATAGACTTTAGATTTTGTGTAGGGGTTGGGTTTTTAAGGTCTCTCATAGAGGTAATTTATATTTGTTTGAAGGGTTGGAGGGTGTGAGAAAAGGATATTTGGGCTTACATCCTCCTTTTCCTTAAAAATACATCTGGCCCTTGACCAGTTTTTGTGTAGTTAAAGAATATTTGACTTTGGACTTTGTGTAGGGGTTGGGTTTTTAAAACTTGACTATGCTCTATACGATGATATTGATTAGGTAGCAGATGTTATCAAGTAAGGTATACATATTCTAGCTTGGCTGGTTCTATATATGATATTGATTAGATAACTGATGTTACCAAGTAAGGTATACATGTTATGAGCTAGGATCTTTTTTACAATTGTATGTGTATATCATTTGGGGTGAGAGTTTAGGACAAAGAGAAGTGGTCATTTTGTATTTGTTTGGAGGTCTGGAGGGTGTGGGATAGGGGTCGTTGAGATGAAATCGGCCTTTTGTATTACTACTATCTCTGTAAGTTTTAATATGAAATCGATGATTATACATTCTCTTAGAAACTTGTTGAATTGTTTATCCAACATATTGCAAATTACATTTTTTTTAACAGGGTATCAAATAAATCACGTCAGTTGATACGCATTAAGTGTTATAACGTAGAGGATATGTCTCGTTTTTATTAACGCTACTTAAAGAAATAATTTCTCTTGTTTGCACATTGAGAGCACCGGTGTCCATTACATTTAGATGACGAGAATTATCTTTCTTATTTTCTGTCTGTTTAGTTCTAATTAGAAAATTTTACAAATTATCGTGTCTTCTATAGGCAAGATTTAGTGATTTTAGGCTGTGTTTTTTTTTTTTGTTGATAAATTTAGGAGACTCCAATGCCTATTAATTACAAGGCCTATATTAGGTAATGAAGGATTGTATTGTATCGTTAAAGGAACTATATTTTGTTCTATTGTACAATTTTCTGTGTTTAAAGCCACGTTTTGAGTAATATTTCGGACTTTGTTCAGGTCAGAATCAATGATATATGTAGAACAATTTGTTATGGAAAAAAGTTTTTAAAATATTCAACGAATTTCGTAATTGACAATCATCTGAAATAATGTCTCAGTATCTTTTAGCCTGGCTGTATAGTATAATGATGTAAAGATAATGGCGTTTGTGTTGTTTCTTTTTTATCCCACCTCTGAACTGAGGTGATTTTTTTTTTTACTTCTGTAAGTTTACATTTAAACCACGGTTGTATATTGGGTGGATTGCAGGCTACTGGTTGGCAGCCCTCTCTACCCCACCCCATACACCCGCTATCAAATGAGAAATACCCTTAGTTTAATGTATTACTTGAAACGAGTGAATAACTGATATATTTAATCAAAAGGATGCAAAACTCAGTGTTTAACAAGTGAGATGCTTTGACAGGGATTTGGCATGGGAATATCAGCATTATCTTGACATGTGAAATGCTTTGATGTGGTGATTTCATGGGAAAATCGGCATTATATTTACATGTGAGATGGACCCCTCCGTTGGCCTAGTGGTTAGAGTGTCGGCCTCGGATGTGGAAGGTCGTGGGTTAGAACCTCGGCCTAGTCGTACCAAAGACTTTTTAAATAGCTGCCTTGGATGGCCCTCAGCATTAACAGGTTAGTGTTAGGACTGGGCAGCCTGGTGTCAGGATAATGTGACTGGGTGGGGCATCATGCTACATGTCTGAGATATGATGCCCACATCACTATAAACTATCACACTGCAGACATCATAGTGGCCTGGCATTAGGATAATGTGACTGGGTGGGGCATCATGCTACATGTCTGAGACATGATGCCCACATTACTATAAACTATCACACTGCAGAGATTGTAGCAATATGACTGAAAAATTGTTAAATCTACGATTAAATATCTAAATCACACACACACACACACACACACACACACACACACACACACACTTACGTGAGATGCTATGATGCGGACTTGACATGGGGATATTGGATTATCTTTACCGTTATTTGCGCTATGATTCAAAACATTGTTGGAAATTGATAATTCTGATTTGTTATGAGAAAGCTTTTCATTTTCATTTCATTTTCTAGAAAAGACATGACATTGTTGTCTCTGCTTTTTTTCAAACATCGAGGAAATGTAAATTCAGCTCGTTAAAGAGTATTGTAATAAGGAATTTAAAAGCGACGGTATCATTTTTCTTTATGCATTTTACGGTAAAATTCCGGCTCATTTTTGTGTTGAAAACTGATCAGCATACTTTGAAAGTAAATAATACTGTACATAACAAGTGCGTCAGAAAATGAGTTTATTATGTCTGTTTTATTTTTCTAAATTTGTGATTTAAAAATCCATTTTATTATTCTGTTGATGATTTCCATTTAAGTCTGGCCTTAATTTTCCATACTTGTCATTTTGACTCCAGTCTTTCAAATTCCATTACTGCCTTTTCAGCTATGATATGATTTAGAATCTACGGTATCAATCTGTTAAAAAAGAAAATATAATATCTCTTTTGTGATAAGACTTTATGACTGCAAACACGGGAACTATGTGGAGACATAATCGTGAAGAAAAATAAATAAAGATCAATACAAATAATTACAATGAAATATTACGCAATAAATCTTATTAAATTGAGCATTAGGGATACATCTGTACTGCATTTACGACGAGTCCGTGGTGTTGACATTTTACATTAAAAGACATATTATGAAAATTTGCATCTGTCTCAGTTGTTATTTTGATTTAATGTCAGATTGATATTCAACCTGCCAAAACTGTATGGACATGTTTTTTTATTTCTAGCAAACTATATTTTTATAATATAGAATCCATTTATGTGTTTCATCATGCGTTGCATGCCTAAAACAAATGGAAATTAATTCAAATGGATTATTCCTGGTTACCGTTATTCTGTTAATTTCCGAATATGTTTCAGCTATTATTAAATTGCATTTCTGTTTCTTGACTTCACTCCCTCATAAAACCTTGTTTTCTTGGACATAAAAGATACAAAATTTAATAATAATCAATACGTATGATGCGACTTATAGCAGCATCAATGGAAACATTGTCGGGTCATTTTTTCTCTTCAATTGCCTGGAGTCACATTTTCGGGTTTTGGTTTCTCTTTAATTGCCGAGAGACACATTATCGTGTCTTGATATCCCTTTGATTGCCGGGAGACACAGTATCTGGTATTGTCTTCCCTTTCATTACCTGGAGACACAGTATCTGGTCTTAGTTTCTCTTTAATTTCTGGGAGGCACAAAATCGGGGTTTGGTTTGTCATTAACTCCTGGCAGGCAAGGTAAGAGGGCATGGTTTCACATTAAATTCTGGCTGGCAAATAATCGTGGTTTCGATTAGAATTTCTTTGAAGCATATTGGTTGTTTGGTTTTTCTTGCTCATGAAAGAGAGTATAAAGCAAAATACTCATTGTTAATACTCTTGTGTATATATAATTTGTATTGTTACTCGTGTATTTCTTTATGATTTTATGTTATGTTTATCGGTATTTTGTAATTGACTTTATATACAATTATGTTAATGATGTACCTGTCTAATGACCTTTATTTTTATACAACATAATGCATAGCTAGTATTTATCTATCATTGTGGATTAAATGTTCAAATCATAATTAGTAGCAAACATGTTAGTATTAATTTGAGTCAAAGACAGTCTCGATTCTGATCTTGCAAACTTCCAGAATGGAAATTTCCTATTAAGTTCACAAAGAATGTTTAGAAAAAGGTTACTGCGACCCAGTCAAGTAGAGGGGTATATAGTCTGGTTTACAGTCGGATTATTCGTTATAGCCTTTAATCTAAATTTGTTGTTGTAGGGCTTAATGCTATTTTCAGCACACGATAGGCTTTACATGGCGACCAGTATTAATGGTGGAGGACGAAACCGAAAAATCTTCGGAAAGAACCACCAACCCACGAGGTTTCTCACATATCCACATTCGCCGAATCTTAGACTCGAACCAACGTAGAGGTGAGATGGCAGTGATTCGTAACGGACAGCACTTTAGACCACTCATCCACTCGGGACAAATCTGAATAAGACTAATTTGTATTGTTTTGTTGTGTTCAGTTTTAATTTGGCTGTATTTAATTATTTGATTATTATTCAATGGAATTAAAATGTGATCAGTAATATCCTTTGACTAAAACATTCATTTGTAATTTTAGTGAATCCAGAAAAGAACATTTTCTATTATATTATTGTCATACACCAGAAAAAAAACTTTTAACATATAACCACAATCCAGGCCATTTTCACATGAACATGATTGAGAATACAACACATCAACACATTCAATATTGGAATTTATTTGGAATTCGGCTGGAATTTCATGCATCTGGATTTGTGATAGAATATTCGGACTATCTGAAATGTAATTCACAATATTGTAAATATTCACTTCATATTCTAGAAAAATATATTCTTGTTGAATTTTAGAACACGTTGGTTTTCGCTCTCTTCTGTTACTTAATTTACAACCAAAGGCTCGTAGCACATTTGCTGTCACTTTCTTGCAAGTAAAAGGGACGAAAGGCGGATGAAGCATGGCGAAAACAGAAAGGGGCTGATCCATGCTCCTTAGAAGTATTCATACCGAGGTGCCTGATCCCGATCAATTATACGTTGGCAGAAAATAACAAAGCGTATTTGTTGCACACGAAAAGCACAAAGCAAGCAAAAAATCGGTTGCTGTACGTCAACGTTAACAGACCGCAGTGTTTAACGCGGCTGGTGTGGAGTTTCTTACAATAGTGTCTGGGCGTCTGTTTGGGCAATACTTGACGTGAAGACCATTATGCTTACATTGCTCATCGCAGAATGGAACGTATTCGATACAAAAAAAAAACAACAAATGCTGAAATCGAAAGCAGTCAATATGTCTCAAAGTCAATTTTTAAGTACCCGGCTCAGATCACAAAGATGAAACAAATCTAGATTACTTCGTTGAGGTCGGCTTTTACTTTGCAAGTCTGACATGGCGTGTAAATCTTGCGTTTATGTGGGGTATGTCAACAATAGTAATGAAGCGACTGGCGACATTCATATTGTACCCAAAATTTACATCAACTGTAACAGACTACCAGGAGAAGTGTCGACGCAAAGCAAATATCAGCAATCTTTGAAAACGAAACAAGAAGAGGTGAGTTTCTACCCGCCTGAGTCGGTTGACAAAACCGCGAAACATGACCACGTGCATTTCGTTCCGACAATGAAGTTTCAAATAAGTCAAAGTCTACGAAGACAAAAAATCGGTACTTGCCGTCGAAAGAGCTGAGTTAGTTTTCTTGCTTACCTCCATAACAAAAGCGAATGAGAATTGCACTACAACACCGGCCAGCCAGGATATGAGCGTCAAGATTCACGAGATAATGTCGAGCATAGCCGATACCACCTCTTATGTTAGCGTTTTATGAATATCAGTCAGAATTTGTTGTACAAAAATTGAGCGTCTTTTTATTTGCCATACTTGAGATTTTGCTCTACAGCCATCGCAAGTGATGGTTAATGTGGGTAAGGTCGTCCTACCAAACACGTGTGGTTTCTCAGGTTTACATCATTGATGATATACATCAATCTTTATACCTGATAACTATATGTTTTGTTTCTAAAAATGTTTCTCTGCGTAGATTTTACTCAGCTAGGATGTATGGTTGTTCTTGGCCCCAGTAGCTAAGTTGATGTATATCTTGTATTTCAAATGGGAACCATACAAATATCAATGGTAAAACGTTTGTGGACCTGTTATAGCCAGCTAGCTTACTCAGCGAGCGATAGACGTCCTAGACAAGATGAATTGCATTACATTATCTTTCTCAATATGTTATGGATAGCCCGTATCCGAGTTTGTGGACTTCTTCCAACCCGATCCAACTTTCCCGGTCGAGCCTGCTCAGGCTCGTCTTGTTTACGCGGTACATCATTCATCCTGTCGTGGTTGCTAAGGAGCGAACGTTGGATGGGCAAACTGCTTCCTTTTCCGATACAATTGTAGCCTCATGCAGTTGATAGCCACGGCTTTACTGGCGCCCTTTGCGCTTCATTTTGAATTTTTTCCGCGAATATCAACACCAACAATTTTGGGCTTAGATTCACGAATTTCAGCGATTGCCCGCGTTCATCTTCTTGGCCACAGAGCAAAGCACTTTCCCCTCTGACAAAGTCTGCCTTAATCGGCTTCTGCTGGTTCTCTTCATAGCTTAAATAAGTAAAGTTTACATTTTATTTAACACATCACCAAGTCGATGTTACAAGAAATCGATGGCTTGATCCAGGGTCTCTGGTTTGTACTGAATCGTTCTTGAGATCTTGGTGATACAGGTTGGTATCAAACGAGGTTTTGTTGGTGAGCCACGCTATGTTGGGGACTAGCCTCTTGAATTTAATGAATCCGCTGTACTTTTGTCACTCAATCGTGATAATAATCCTTTAGGTATCTACCTAGCTACCCGCATGGCTTCCTAGAGAGCTAATTACTGTGCGCATCGTTTAGATCGTATTGTCTTCAAGATCGACCTCAAAAAGCATCTATATGACGCCTCCGTCAGCAAGATCTAAACA